ACCCTGGCACGACCATCGTGCATGCCTAAACAAGATCGAGACTCGTCACTAAAGACAATACTGTTCCATTCCTGATCCCAGAGTGACCGTTGTCTGCACCACTCAAGGCGATTACGTCGGTGTTCTCGAGTTAAAGGGAGGACCCAGTGTGGCCGGTATGAAAACAAGCCAAAACTTCTCATTCGTCGGTAAACACTTCGCATGCCAATAGGTCTTCCGTGTTCTGTAAACCATTCATTTGCAATGGACCTGGTAGTGGAGAAACGGTCCCTTAAGGCCAATAATCTTAGGCGGCGATCTTCACGGTCTGTTGTTCTACGGCGGCGTCCAGTGCCCCTTGCTTTTTGCGTACGGCCTTCTCGAAGCCATGCCTGACAACACCTAACCACAGTGTCTACACTTCTTTGCACTCTAACTGCAATTGTCCGAAAAGAAAGTCCAGCTTCCCGAAGTCCCACTATACGGCCCCTATCAAACTCACTAAATTGACGAAATCGTACAGGTCTCCGTACTCTAGGCATCGTAACCGATCGTAAAGAATGTCAACAACCAAAATCCGCCAACGTTGATTCTTTACGGCGGCTGAAATATTCATTTTTAGAGCGTTAGTGAATTAAAAAAAAGCAGTATAAAAACCGGAATGTCCAACTGATAAGGCTGAAAATTTTTTCACTTGTTATTTACAGTAAGATAAATACATTCACCGACTTTTATTGAAATAAAACCATTTAAACTGGGTGTTCGGATTTATATGTCACTTAGTATATAAACAAACTGATTCGTCTATTTGAATAGCATCACCGTTTAAAGGCATCTTAGATTTTCAGGAGAAACAATACGTTAATAACTTTGGATTTAGAGGGATTCAGGTTCTCTATGATTTATGTTTCCGAAATATCTGAATTTACATGATTGAAACTATGATAAAATTGTGAGTCCTGAGCACAAATTATATACTAATCTTACAACCTTGTTTATAACTGCTATATATAAAATAAAGGGTAGTGGTCCAAGCACTGATCCTTGAGGCACTCCTGAGGGTATCAAGCGTTCTGTAGAAAATTCAACGACGATGTTTTGCGTTACGCTATCGAGCATAAACAGCAGGGTTCCAATATAAATTCAAATAAAAATCGACTAAACCTTGTAGAAAATCCGAAAAATATTGCTGACCTAATCACCATCTAAATCCCCATCCCTTAGGTCACCAAAAATAACCAAAAACTCAACCACCCGCCACCCTTCAGTGGCGATTTAAATCAGTTAATTGTTTACCATGAAAACCATTATATGAAGCCCCAGCTGGTTACGGCTGTAACAATTTTGTTGACTACAGTTTCATTCAAAAATTATTTAAGAAAGATGTATCTCCGGTATCGCTCTTTTGGGACGTGTACCTTATTTTTTCTAAGAACTTGTGGCATTATTTTGTATTCTATATGCCTAGGAGAGATCGACATGTTAGTTTTGGAAAGCCTGTATATCCCCGTTTTCACCACATGAAGAAAAAGATCTTGAAACAGAAAACAGGTAAAACTTCTCTGAGGTTTATTATGATTGCGTATCATATCTTCTACCATTTTCTTTTATTTGTGTCGTCAATCCTGGAGTTCCCCTCACCCATTATAGTCAGTTGATAAAGTAGTGGTCACATATGTCAAGGTACATTAGATGTATTGTGAATGATCCTCAAAGCTTTAACGCACCGGGCATTAAATGGAAAACGGCTGGATTTTTCAATATCCTTCCTCCATCGTCATACCTTTTCACAGTTCCCATATACGAGCCCCTTCCCACTTCAGTTGGCAAGATTTGTACCAAAATATGCCTTTATAAACTAAACATGACGAAACCATTTACTTCTAAAAAACAAAAACATTTTAGATACACTCTAGAAAAATACTTATTTGAAATCACTTAGACCTATAACTAATAGAACATCTGGTACATTATTTTCTTCCATCCATTTTATAGCCTTTTTTGAGGTATGGCACGCTGCACCATCTTGCTAAAACATACAATCTTGGCCAGATGCCAAACATTCTTCCATCACTGGTAAAAGTGATTCTTCTAAAATTGACAAATATTTGTTTGTATCCACATTTCCATCAATAAAATGAAGTTTTCCTACTCCTTTGATGACATACTGCCCCAGACCATAATGGATGCTGGAAATTTCACTTTTCTCTTCAGACAGTCAACATGGAATGCTTCATTTTTTTTGCGAATAACTCTACTGCGACTGTCACCAACACAAACTTCGAATCGAGCCTCATCACTCCATTGTATTGCACACCATTGTTGAGATGTCCATTGTCTATGTTCTTTAACCCATCTAAGCCGATTTTTCTTTTGCAGTGAGTTAATAGGAGCTTTTCTTTGGCCTATAAACAAGTTGTGCAACTTTATTGTTTTTACTTCACTTTTTTTATAAGAAAACTTACCTTGCAAGTGCTAAATCCCAGTTTGTGCGCCTCTCTATGACACTTAATTGTAAATAATTGGCACGCCTGTTTTTCACGATTATTCTTCTTAATGCTCGTCGGTCGGCTTTTGTGATATTACTTTTTTCACATATCGTGGCTTAATATTAACTGAACCAGTTACGTTATATCTTCTAACAATATTTCTCACACTATAACGCGACAAGTCTAACAAAGTTGCAATTTCTGAGTTTGATTTCCCAGAATTAAAAAATTTAATTATTAGTAACCGAATTTTCTCACTAATAACCTTTCCTCTACCCATTTTGAAAACCTTAACTACCCAAAACTATTTTAAACGTATTCTGACAGCTGTGATTAATAAAAACAATTGTCAGGGCTTTTATTTTTCACAGCCACCTATGCGTTATACTTATTTTGCATTGAAATGAAAATAGGTTGATATGCTGTAATTGCAACTTCTGTTATTTTGATTAGGGAGTGATAAAGTTGGTGTTTTCTACTATATATTATCATAATATTCATTGTTAATATTTTAAACCTATAACACCCTACTACATTTTTATTATTTGTGTTTGATAAGAAAAAAACTAAGATTTCAATAGTTGGGCCAACTGAGGTGGGAAGGGGCTCGTAAACATAATATCCATATACTGACCGCTGGTACGTGTCACACGAGTACAATGCACTTCTTAGTACAGTCATTATAGTTAAAGGGAATTATAAAAATGAAATAAGAAACTGTTCTATCAATTTCACGTAAGGCATCTGTTTTGTGTGAGGTGCTTTATAGATAAGTGGTACAGCAGAGCATTCGAATTGCTGGACAGTGGACCAACTGTATCTCGACGATGACTTAATCATTGTTTTCTGACGGCTGTGGTTTTTTCGGTATTTCAATTAGGATTAGATCTATTAGAGCATGGTATACAAATTACGAGAAACCAATGGGCGATTATGAAGTTCAAACCTTTTAAGTCAACTAACTCAGCCTCACACCACGAGATTCAAATGTGCCTGGCTTATATCGCCAGTTCGCTTGTTAATAAACACGTAATTATGTTGGTTATAAAAAACAAAACTTATTAAAACATTATAAGGACATTTTAAGTAGATGTTTTGCCAAAGCAGAGAGCATTCTTACTGATACCGAGATATTGTTTTTCCTCGTTGGACACGAAACAGCCAACCACCAGCTATGTCATCAAACGGTATAAATATACTAAGTGACATATAAATCCGAACACCCAGTTTAAATTGTTTTATTTTAATAAAAGTTGGTGAATGTATTTATCTTACTGTAAATAACAAGTGAAAAATTTTTCAGCCTTATCAGTTGAACATTCCGGTTTTTATACTGCTTTTTTTTAATTCACTAACGCTCTAAAAATGAATATTTCAGTCGCAGTAAAGAATCAACGTTGGCGGATTTTGGTTCTTGACATCCTTTACGATCGGTTACGATGCCTAGAGTACGGAGACCTGTACGATTTCGTCAATTTAGTGAGTTTGATAGGGGCCGTATAGTGGGACTTCGGGAAGCTGGACTTTCTTTTCGGGCAATTGCAGTTAGAGTGCAAAGAAGTGTAGACACTGTGGTTAGGTGTTGTCAGGCATGGCTTCGAGAAGGCCGTACCCAAAGAGCAAGGGGCACTGGACGCCGCCGTAGAACAACAGACCGTGAAGATCGCCGCCTAAGATTATTGGCCTCCACTACCAGGTCCATTGCAAATGAATGGTTTGCAGAACACGGAAGACCTATTGGCATGCGAAGTGTTTACCGACGAATGAGAAGTTTTGGCTTGTTATCATACCGGCCACACTGGGTCATCCCTTTAACTCGAGAACACCGACGTAATCGCCTTGAGTGGTGCAGACAACGGTCAACCTGGGATCAGGAATGGAACAGTATTGTCTTTAGTGACGAGTCTCGATTTTGTTTAGGCATGCACGATGGTCGTGCCAGGGTTAGAAGGCGACGTGGTGAAAGGAGGAATCCACAGTTTTTTGTTGAAAGACATGTTCATCACACTGTTGGAGTTATGGTTTGGGGTGCTATAGCTTATGGTTCCAGGTCACCTTTAATCTTCACCAGAGGTAACATGAACGCGCAGCGTTATATCCACGAAGTTCTAGAACCCCATCTTTTACCCTATCTTGACACCCTGGCAGATCCAACTTTCCAACAAGATAATGCCCGACCACATGTTGCAAGAGTCACAATAGACTTCTTTCAACATAATGATGTCACATTGTTACCATGGCCACCAAGATCTCCCGACTTATCCCCAATTGAGCACGTGTGGGATATGATGGGTAGGAGATTGCTCAATTTGCAACGTCCTCCTCAGACTCTAGAAGCACTTCGAGAGGAGTTGGTGGTTGCCTGGAATGAGATACCACATGAGGACATTGACCACCTGATCAGAAGCATGCCTAGGCGCGTTGGAGAATGCGTAGCACATCAGGGTGCATCCACACATTATTAAAGGTCAAAGGGCTTTAAAGCAGTGCAATCATTTTGAAATTTTTATCATTTACTTATTATGCTTCATTAAGTACTTATACAGAATTTTATTAAAATAAAACCATTTAAACTGGGTGTTCGGATTTATATGTCACGGATATCTTGCTGCCAGAGGAAAATTCAGCCACCCATTTGTATTCATCATCGCACTACAGTTCCGAGCCTACTAGAAATCCACCCTGTTCTACCCATCAGGCCGGCGCAGTCGCGGAACACCCGAATCATCCCCCAAGTCAAGCCGTTCACGTTTTCCTACAGTACGCCGCTATTCCCAACTCCGTCTCGAGGCACGTAAAAATTTATTTACGTTTCTGATGTAATCGAGCATTGTGAGGATTTCAATTTCCTCCCGGTGTTCTACTGTGTAACAGACAGCTTCTAGGTGAGTCTGCCTGTGTTTTGCGCATCATTTTAAGAGCATTTTGGTGGTCTGGATGTGCATTCGCCTGCAGCACCCAAACACCGTGCAGTATGTATGAACATTTCACACTCCGCTATTGTTAATTTGTTGTTGAATTTTCAGGAAAAACAGTGAGTACACAATTCATTTGCTTTGGATCATGCTCAGGTTGCTTTAATTGTCGTATTCACAATTCCATCGTGAAGAACATATGTAAGGCGTCATGCATCGGATTAAAAAAAAAGTTCAACCGACTTCATAACTTCATATAACGAAGTTGTGATAACTTTGGTTAATACAATTTTGTCTATAACACCGTCTATCAGTTACTAAGAGTCATACAGTAAGCTTATGATCCAAATTTCAATTCAACTAAATCTTGTTTGTCATTTTTCATCTACATTGCTGCCGGACTCATTTATTTCCAAAAGTTCCAGAATTATCAGCATCAAATTATTAAATTATATTTACACACTTAAAAAACATCTAAGCTCAAAATGTGCTTTGGGTCAAGTTTTGTTAACTTTGTGATAATTGCTACCGAAAAATTCAAGGCGCTTGGAACATAACATACATTTTTTCCTTGATTTCAAAACGTCTGACAATATCACAACAAACGGCGTCGACCAAGTCTTAGACCGAATTAATTCAACCATCAAGCCCAACTCTAATCCACAACGAAGCTGAACTTATCAAGCTCTAACCCAGCTTGTGATTAATTCTACTTGCACTTTACCCTTCATCACAGATAATTTTCAATTTTCATAGATGCAAAAAAAAATTTGACTATAAGAATTTACTTAATTAGTAAATGCTTTTCTTCACTACGCCCATGGTTTGTTTATCATTTTGTTGTTGAAACTAGCTATTGGAGCGTTTTTTTGTGGCTAAAAAGCTATTTCTTGAAAGGAAATATCTCGAACTTATTTTAAATAGGAATTTAGTACATATTTTTCGATTGATTTGACCAAGCTTTGTTGCTAAAATAACTTGTAACGCTTTATTACATAAATTAACCATGGTATATTCCACAGCAGAAAGAGTTGAAATTGGCGAAATTTTTTTCGGAAATAATCAGTGCGCTAATAGAACAGCAGAAATACTGACCAACGGATTCTAAAGGCCCATAGTTTTCATCCGTATAAAATTCACCTGGTACAAGAACTTAATGAAGACGATTTTGATCGGCGATTACAATTTTGTGAAGATATGAGTGAACGAATTATAAACGATGAACATTTTCTATTCAACACTTGCTTTTCCGACGAATGTTCCTTTTTCTCAAATAGCGTAGTAAATCGTCATAACTGCCGATATTGGTCCGATTCTAATCCCAGAATTTATCATGAGGTTCATACACAGCAGACACAAAAAATAAATGTTTGGGCTGGTATTTTTGATCATTTAGTTGGTCCTTTTTTCTTACCTGGAAATTTGATCGGTGAAATGAATTTTAATTACTGGAAGACGCCATAGATCCTGCATTAACAGCCATAATTGAAAATCAGAATGATCGGCGGTACATTGCGAATAGGTTGATGATCCAAATGGATGGTGCCCCACCACATTACGCATTACGTGTTCGACAATATTTAGATCAGACGTTTCCAGATCGATGGATTGGAAGAAGAGGTGCCATTGAATGGCCCCCAAGATCGCCAGATTTATCACCTTTGGATTTCTTTATGTGGGGTCATTTAAAAAGCAAAATCTATGCTACTTAGCCAACATCATTAGAAGACCTGCGACAAAAAATTTTGAATGAGTGCCTTCAAGTTACTCCTCAAATATTGCAAAATGTGCGGCAAAGTTTTGAGCAAAACCTTTATTATCGCATGGAGTGTCATGGTGGCCATTTTCAACATTTACTTGCCTAACGGGTTAGTTCATTCTTCATTTTTAAATTACTTTGCTGCAAAATGTATTGATCTCCACTAATGATGATGTATTAGTTTTATTTAAGCTTTAAATCAATAAATCTTCAAAACTACTCAAGTGAAGTACATTAATTTTATATCATTATTAACGGAATTGAAAGACCTTTAAAATAAGGTATCACTCGACCCCCCTTTCCATTTAAGATTTTGGGGGTGGTGTCACCCCCGCTTAGGGGGCAGCACGTGCTAACGTGATTTTTTGCCAAACTTGTGTCCCCCTCGAAAACAAAACCGACGGGTCTGAGCGTTTTCAAAAAAAAAAACTGAGCTGCCAGTAAATGCGTCAGTTTCGTTTTCGATACGCCACCCTGTATGTTACGGGCCATGACGAAAATTGGGCGTTGACGGTTATGGTCGGTTATTATTCATTTTAACGTGTTTGTCCGACTATTGACGTTAATATCTGAGAAGAGATGGGCAATGTTGATATAAAGCCGAACGATTAAAAGCATTACCGATATTCGTCGTAACAAAAACACTCATAAAGAACAATCAAGACAAAACAAATGTTATCAAAATCTGGAACTTGGAGTTTCCATCAAAGTCTTTGCCTCTATTATCTCAACCATAATTTAGATTATTCGTTACTAATCGTTACTACTAGATAATCATTTACTATACTAAGTGACATATAAATCCGAACACCCAGTTTAAATGGTTTTATTTTAATAAAAGTTGGTGATGTATTTATCTTACTGTAAATACCAAGTGAAAAAATTTTCAGCCTTATCAGTTGGACATTCCGGTTTTTATACTGCTTTTTTTTAATTCACTAACGCTCTAAAAATGAATATTTCAGCCGCAGTAAAGAATCAACGTTGGCGGATTTTGGTTCTTGACATCCTTTACGATCGGTTACGATGCCTAGAGTACGGAGACCTTTACGATATCGTCAACTTAGTGAGTTTGATAGGGGCCGTATAGTGGGACTTCGGGAAGCTGGACTTTCTTTTCGGGCAATTGCAGTTAGAGTGCAAAGAAGTGTAGACACTGTGGTTAGATGTTGTCAGGAATGGCTTTGAGAAGGCCGTACGCAAAGAGCAAGGGGCACTGGACGCCGCCGTAGAACAACAGACCGTGAAGATCGCCGCCTAAGATTATTGGTCTTGGGGGACCGTTTCTCCACTACCAGGTCCATTGCAAATGAATGGTTTGCAGAACACGGAAGACCTATTGGCCTGCGAAGTGTTTACCGACGAATGAGAAGTTTTGGCTTGTTTTCATACCGGCCACACTGGGTCCTCCCTTTAACTCGAGAACACCGACGTAATCGCCTTGAGTGGTGCAGACAACGGTCACTCTGGGATCAGGAATGGAAAAGTATTGTCTTTAGTGACGAGTCTCGATTTTGTTTAGGCATGCACGATGGTCGTGCCAGGGTTAGAAGGCGACGTGGTGAAAGGAGGAATCCACAGTTTTTTGTTGAAAGACATGTTCATCACACTGTTGGAGTTATGGTTTGGGGTGCTATAGCTTATGGTTCCAGGTCACCTTCAATCTTCATCAGAGGTAACATGAACGCGCAGCGTTATATCCACGAAGTTCTAGAACCCCATCTTTTACCCTATCTTGACACCCTGGCAGATCCAACTTTCCAACAAGATAATGCCCGACTACATGTTGCAAGAGTCACAATAGACTTCTTTCAACATAATGATGTCACATTGTTACCATGGCCACCAAGATCTCCCGACTTATCCACAATTGAGCACGTGTGGGATATAATGGGTAGGAGATTGCTCAATTTGCAACGTCCTCCTCAAACTCTAGAAGCACTTGGAGAGGAGTTGGTGGTTGCCTGGAATGAGATACCACAGGAGGACATTGACCACCTGATCAGAAGCATGCCTAGGCACGTTGGAGAATGCGTAGCACATCAGGGTGCATCCACACATTATTAAAGGTCAAAGGGCTTTAAAGCAGTGTAATCATTTTGAAATTTTTATCATTTACTTATTATGCTTCATTAAGTACTTATACAAAATTTTATTAAAATAAAACCATTTAAACTGGGTGTTCGGATTTATATGTCACTTAGTATAATTTTTATTGGAATGTATATACATAACAAATATAAAAAAGACAACATTCCAAAAGGAAAGAGGATGAGTACAATGAAATGTACTTGGAACATCCAAGCCCCGCAAAACTGTTTGCTTTCGACTCAAAACATGTACGTTCCGCCCCTGTTTACTATTCCGGCATTTCTTCTTCTCTTTAGAACGCACCAATGTGCAGCATAAAACCTTCAGTGCCGTTTCACTACAAAACGATTTATAGTTTCTTATCAAAAAACCGAGAATTTTTATAGCGGACTATTGTGTAATCCTAATTTAACATCAAACAACACACCTAGATCTCTTACTTCAGAACAACGCATTAAACTGACACCTTCCAGTGTGTAATCAAAAACTATTGGATTCGTTTTCCTGGTAAAAGAACAGGTTTTGCATTTGCTAACATTCAAAAATAATGTATTACTTGAACACCATTCAAATATATGATTCAGGTCAACTTGCAAGATTAGACAGTCATCAACGCTGTTAATCTGAGCATATTTTTTTAAATCATCGGCAAACGACAGAGAAGGACCGGTTAAGCAGCTAGGGAGGTCATTGATAAAATAAAGAAAGAAAAGGGGGCCTAAATTTGGTCCCTGCGGTACACCGGATGAGGCCGAGTAAGGTGAAGATTTGAAACCATTGTAAGAAACGTACTGATTTCGATCACGCAAGTAAGAAGAAATGAAATGTAATAAATGATTGCTAAAATGATAGAGAAATATTGTTAACAGACGCGTCGCATATTGGTAGCATGGTAGCAATTTTTTTGCCATACATGTTACCTAACTTTTTCCTCAGAAGACCTAACGTGCGCTGTTGAACTATGACAGATATGGGAACCACTTACTATTCGTCATTATTCGTCAGAGCGGTCCGGTGGACCTTTACTCTTAGTTAAAAGTCTCGTCGGTCTGTTAGTCTGACAGGTCTGGCTATCCAGATACCAAACATGTTTAACGGGAAAAGGG